TTCAAGTTGGCAGAATGAAAATGTTGGTATTCTCATAGAGAAATATGCCATTTTTTGTGGAATTTAAAAAAAAGTGGCATTTTTTACACCGATCAGAGGTGATGGTTCAGGGAGGTAGTACAGGCGGTGGGAAAGGTATCCATATTTTTTTTATTTTTTTATGGAGTTTTACTATTTTTTTATTAATTTTCAAAAAAAAATAAAAAAAAATTCCTATTTTTTATTTTATAAACATTTTATTAATTTTTTTTGTTATTTTTCTACAGATTATTGAATTTTTTTCGGATTTATTATGAATTAAACATTTAATTATGACTTTTAGCTATCTTTTACTAATATTTAAAGGAGGGGTAAGAATGGAAGGAAGAAATGGGTATGTTTCCAATAGGACCACTATGGTCCTATTTTGGAATAAAAACATAGCAAGTCCTATTTTGATTTTTTGCCATAGTTTTAGTCCTATTTGAAGTAATTTCTATATTTCAAATGAATAAAATTTTATTAATTTTAATTATTTTAATAACTTTAATTTAACGAAAAATCATAACCAAGGGCGCAGCTAGGGTCTGCGGAGTTTTGGGGTCGGCGTTAACACGCTCGACGTTTTTCCTTTGGCTGCGGCAATCGAAGGTCATCGCTTTGTTTGTAGCGGGCGAGAGCACGACAATAGTCAGGTGTAACGATTCTGTCTTAGGCTATTTATTTGCGAACGTTGCAGGACAATCGGCAGAGGTTTTCCTCAGGCAACTGTTTTAAGCGTCAATTTTGAAGGAAATCGGCAGGGATTCACTGCTCAGGCATCGTTTTCGAGTGTCGAGTTTTGAAGAGCAAAAAATCGATTTTCAGGGCTAACGTGAAGGATCTGTTTAGGCGAATCTCTATAAGTCGTTTAGCCTATTCTTTCAACGGAGAGTAGGCAATCAAGATGGTTGACGCCAACGAGATGGAGGAGATTAACAGGTTGGTCAAAGCTTATGATAGACTGGAGATGGAGGAGGAAGATGAAGTATTGCATGTGGTGGCTAAAGCTCCAGGGAGTGAGGAGATAGGGTTGGCCTTGGTTGGAACGGTCACTTCCGAAAAATCGGTACGTTTCTCTTTTTTTCGTGACACTATGGCCAATGTTTGGAAGCCTGTTAGAGGCGTGACCATTACTGAGTTAGGTGCACGAAGGTACATGTTTCAATTTTACAATAAAAATGATATGATCCGTGTTATGGAGGAAGGACCGTGGACTTTCGATCAAAACCTTATTGTGCTTGCTAGGTTAAAGCAAGGTGATTTGCCGCTGAAGGTACCGTTGAATAGGGCTGACTTTTGGTTACAGGTTCATGATGTGCCAGTGGGCTTCTTTTCTGTGGAAAATGCTATTAGAATTGGGAATTTTGTAGGGAATTTTGTTAAGGTAGATGAGCAGAACTTCTCTGTTGAATGGAACCCCTATATGAGGATTAGGGTTAGTATTGACTTGAACAGGCCTTTGAAGAGGAAACTTTTTCTTCAATCTGATGAAGGAGAAAGTTTTTGAGTTAAGTTCAGGTATGAAAAACTACCTAATTTTTGTTTTGCTTGTGGAGTCATTGGTCATGCAGAACGTTTTTGCCCGTGCTACCCTGACGGTAAAGGCAAAAGTGAGGAATTCCTTTATGGACCTGAGTTGAGAGCTTCAAAAGGAAACAAAGTTGTGGGAGGCAACAAATGGCTAGTCCCAATTGGTAAAGGTAAAGAAAAAGAGGAGGAGGGCGGAATAGGCTTGGCAAGCTCGAATGCAGATAGAGAACAGCAGCAGGGACTGGACCAAACTCACAATGGAGTCAAGGTGGATCAAAAGCGTAGGCGCGTAGATCACGAGACTCAAGAGTTTGCACAAAAGGATATGGACATGGAGACGGGCTCACCAAAAAACGGGAAGGGGGCGGGCTACAATGCCCGCCTATCAGATATCTAGAAGATGCGTCGGGTGGTGCAACAAGGATGGAAGTCTACAAATTCCATCACCTGTAATTTTATTTTTGCTACTTTATTTTTACTTTTCCGAACTCAGTTGCTGTTTGCTTTTTTGTTTTTATTTACAATAAGGGAGTGAGTGTCCTGGGTGTTTTGTTTTTTAGTAAGTTTTATAGTGTTGGAGGCAATCAGGCTGTCACAGCCGCTAATAGCCTCTTAACTCTCACTGTCTCAGCAATTAGTCTCGCTCTTTTTGGGGTGAACTATTCTATGTCTGGACATGACGTGAGGGGCCCGATGGGCTTTTGGTATTGTGGGTCTACTGGGAATTAGTATTTTGGTGTCTTGATTGATGTAATGTCTCTTTTGGTTCTAATATAAGCATTTTCCTTCAAAAAAAAACTTTAATTTAACGAAACGTGTATCTTTATTAACTTTAGTTTCATTGCAAACATTAAATCCTTTTCAGTTTTGAATACGTACGTTGCTGCATGGTTGAAAACCATTAACATTATTAATTATTAAGTACTATCTATAATACAGTTAATACACTTTGAAATTTTGCTAACGTTAACCTTCAAATTCAACTATTCAAGCCTTAGTATAAAGGGCTTGTTTGGCAAATAGCTGTTAGCTGTTAGATGTTAGCTGGTTGTGTTAGCTGTTAGATGTTAGCTGGTTGTGTTAGATGTTTTGAATAGCTGATCATTAAAGTTTATTGTAAACTAATGTTTGGTAAAATTAGCTGTTTGTAAATAGCTGTTTGATGCAAAAAGACGTATATAGACATGAGGATTTATTTATTATTTTGTTGTTATACATACTACTTTTTTGAATACTAATATGTAAATTTTTAATAATCATGTGACACTGGCCAAAAAAATAACTTTTGTTTTCTTTTCTAATTCATTTTAATTTTTTCCCCTTTCTAATAATTCGAATTTTATTCTCTCTCCCCATCCAGGACTTGTGTTTGTTCTACGCATTTTTCTATTTCTTTTCTACCTTCTCGATCTCCTGCTTTCTTCTTTTCCTTCCTTGTTTACCGGACATTCCTATGGCAACTCATAAAAAAATCAGGATTTCATCAGCCTCTTATTTCCTATGGCAGTCTTCCGCTTCATTTTTTTCAATTTTTCCTTTCATTCATTAAATTTGGGGGTAACGACAAAGAGAAGCAAGGATCCAACAACTTTAATTAGCTAGAAATTGGTGCCAATGACTCTGGCCGGTGGAAACAGCAGCTTTGAAGTGAGGAAGTGTGATTTGGCTTTGATGTAATCGCTACATAAAAACGAGCTACAGTAATATTAAAGGGCATAAGCGAGTTTTTAACGGACCAGCCGAAGCAAAACGCTGCCCTCTCCAGCTTTTTGGTTTTTTTGAGTTCAAACAGCCAACTGAAGCATCCGATTACCAAACACTGATATTGGCTGGTTGAATAGTCAAAGAAGTTAAATTCGGTCAAACAAGCCAAAAAACGGCTGATAAGCCATTTGCCAAACGTAGCCAAAACGTTTTTAGCCTGAGCTTTAAATAATACATGCTCAACGTATGTGGGATTTAAACAATACAGCTTGCGCTTTAAATGCTAAATTCTCACCTAAGCTGCAACGTACGGTGATTACATGTTATATATATTCAGCTACTTGCTTAATTTTAAAAATCAGTAGCTACGAACTAAAAACTCCCTCACACCACATTTTTGCCTGTTGGATTAATTATTTCTATTACTCTCGTTGTTCTGTTACCGGCTTATGTCGAAGAGCTCGTTTTATCTTGGGGAAAAGTTTTCGCTCGTCGGAAATACTTTCTTGAGGACAGCGTTTACGCGACTCGAGCTATATTATTTTTCTAACGAGTTTTCGCAGGTTTATCCGGCGAATTCCTCCAACAAAATAAACATATTGAGCATATTAATTTGACTACATGTGAAGATTATTTAGGTGATGTTTTCATGATAAATAATATGTGTAATTCTGGTCATTTGAGTTTTGTGAATTTTGATTCTTTGTGCAAATAAGATTAGTTGGTGGAGTCTGGTTGTACCTTACATACGTTTCCGTTTAAAAATTAATTTTCAAACTATAGACAGATTGAGTGTGGCTTTTTGTCTATGGAAAATGAGAAAAGATGCAATGTGCTAGGAATATGTGATGTATGTATTAGATTTTCTTCTGATTGTGTACTTTGAAGAATGTTAGGCATGCTCCTAATTTGTGTTACAATTGGCTATCATTTGCTTCTCTTGAGAATGATGGTTTTAAGAGAAAATGGAGAAAGGGAATCATAAAAATTGTGAAGGATTGTGTAGTTGTTTTTAAAGTTGAGAAGAAAATAACGGTTAACACCCGATCTAGCAACCTGCTACACCTTCTATTCTATTTATTAGCCTAGTTTATTTATACTCATCAGTTGTCCCATTTGAGTCTTGATTGAGGTGCATTGTTAAGCTATTTGTACGGGAGGTGTGTGTTTGTGTAGAATTGTTGGAATAGTCCAATAATTCTTTAGTTTAGGTTCAATGTATTAATTACATGCTTGTCATGTTTCCTTTGCCAAGAAGGCCGAATGATACCCTATTATATTGAGAGACTTGACATCCTTTAGATAGAGAGTGTTAGTGAGACAACCCAGACCCGTGGTTTTCTTCCTGGCCGATTATGGCTTCTGTGAAGCCTTTTCGATCTCCTTCTTAGTGAAGTCTTCTTCTTTGTGAGGTTCAGAGAGTGAATGGGGTAAGGTATGATATGGTTGTTGCTCCCTTATCCTAAGAGTGCACACGAGAGAGATAGAACCAACTTCCGGGCTGCTAAGCAAAAATCTGACCAACGGAACTAAACTCTCAACAATTTTAGTCCTTTTTAGCTAGGCTCATTTCCTTAAATTTATAGCCAACCTCTTGGTACATCCATTTCTTTTACAGCAGTAGTAGAGTCCTACTGAATTTTTAAGGTGGGCATTTCTTTGCCTTAAAATCGTGGGATCTAAGCAACATGTGTACGTATCCAATCCAAAAATGTAGTGCATTTGCAGGACTTAGGCATGCATACCTGCAAAACGATGACACTTGATAGGGTGAAAACGCCAGTGAGTAGATAGACAGAACCTGTGATCTTCTCAAGGTGACATGAGCTTGATGATGATGTGTGGGTGTGGGAGGTTCCTTGCATGAAGCTCATCAGTGTAGCACCCATGACACAAAATATTGTTCCCACAATTTTGGCTCTACTATACTTGCTACTCAGCTTCACCTTTTCTAACCTGTATCTCTCTGTTATATATAATTTGAATTTATTCATGTTGATTAAATAATTAATTAAGCCATATCACATCGCCTCGATACATAAGTAAATAAAAATACAAACTTATTGACATATTCTACTAAATAGTACTAAAACATGGAAATTTTGAGAAAATAGGAGTAGAATGTTTTAATTCACAAAAAAAAAGAGAGTAATGCATGCATATGTGGACCAAAATACGTTGCTATATACTATCGTACAATTTTAATTTTAGAATAGAAAATTGAAAAAACAAACCAATTCAACAAGTTGACAGTCTCTCATGTCGACCCATTGAAAAATAAAACTATCTCGCTTCTGGTGACTGTTGCTAGCTTCTGGTGATTGTCATTGCTGAACATCGCCAGGCTCCGACGACCGGCGATGAAATTATATTTTCATCAGCAATAAAATGCTATAAGCTGGTGAAGGAGGAAGAGGGGATACATATTGGAAAATAAAAATACGTTGCATGTAGCCGTCGTACTCTCTCTTATAACATCATGGGAGAGAAGAATGGGATATTGGAAGAAGCAAAGAAGAAGGGGGGAGGGGGGAGAAGTTCAATTCCAAAATCATAAGAGGGAGAGAGGAGGGAGGAAGAAGGGCATTCGGGATCCGGAGATGGAAGAGTGGTAGAAAAGTAATTAGCACACCTACTTTAGTAATTTAAAATGGTGACAACTCTGGTACCCTTTTAAAAATTGGGGTACCGTACCTGTCCTGCATTTGATTAATTCAAATCATTTTATTCTTTTTAATTTAGATTTAATTAATTCAACTGCATCAGTCCTAATTAAATAGCTATTGGTACATTTCATTTTCATATTTGTTTTTGTTATATGTAGCTAGTTGAGTTACTGAAGCAGCTAGCCGAGAAAGAAACCCTAGGCGGAGAATAACGATCGACCAAGAGTTGTTGGCGACTAGCTAGGGGAAGAGAAAGGAAGACATGCGGCGGAAGAGACGAAGAGGAAGTATTCAATTTAGGGTATTTGGGGGTCTGTGGCAATTGCTTCGATCAACGAGACATGGGTTTAACAGGATAGGTAATTAAGTTGGAACTGCCGTGGGTTGGGTGTTGATGGATTTGGATCACAAGTGGGATTTCGTCGTGGCCGGACAATTCAATGAGCGGCGGCTTTTGGGGAAAACTGGTTCGTGGACCTATCTACCTAGCTATTATGTATGAAATTCATAATAGACTACTCGTATATATGAAGTCCGCCTGGACCCTGGGGATGGCCCTGTCTGTAGATTTACAGCCTACTACTATACGGCGGCTATCCTGAGAGACCAAGACAATTAAAGGGAATCTTGGGCCCCACTGCGGAAGTCAATTCAATGATAAGCCATGGCTTGACATTCAATGATATCGATCATGTTTGAGCATGCATGAACTGTGTGAAAGATTACCCCAACCACGTCACCTTGGCTAGCTTTTATGTGGTTTTAGGGAGGCTGCTGTCTGGAGTTGCATGTCACCTTGGAAACATTCCCTTTGACGAATATCAATGGACTTGGGTGTTTAGGTATGGATCCCTGGATGGAGGAAAAGCTGGCATGGATCGCCCCTTGGAAAATGAGGAGTTTGGAGGTTTTAAGGCTTGATCGTTACGTTTGGATGATTTATGCATGTGCGGTTAGAGAAAGAGAAAAGGACGGGGAATCATAATCACTTTAAATTTGAGAATATATATTTGGTTAGACCAAATGGAGTGGTGAGGTATTAGGAGTCTAAAATGTTAAAATGGCATTTTTAGACTCCTAATTTCTTACATTGGTTGAGTGTGGAGGGTATTAAAAATGGGTTTGGGGAGGGAAGGGGTTAAGTTTGGAGGAATTTTAGACAGCCAAAAATTAAATGGAAAAGAAAAGAAAAAGGGGAGTGGGGGCATACCTGTTGTGCGCAGACGGGAGCAGAAGGCTTGCCAGGGGGAATTATTTGCCTCGCTGACATCATGTTGATGTCAGCATGAGGCACCATGCACTATCAACGGCTCAATTGTTTGTATAAAAAAATATTTGGTAGATCCAACGGTTTTGATGAACTTGACACTGTTTGAACGGGGAAAAAATGATCCAACGGCTGAAATTTAAATCCAACGGTTGAAATAATTTATTTTATTTTTCTATTATTTTTAATTGATATTTTGCTCGAAAATCCTATATAAACACCTCATTCCTTCTTATTTTAATCACACATCTTCCATATCTCTCATTCTTCATCATATTTTTTCACTACAATTTTGTTATGTCTTCCTCAAAAAGGGGTGTTAATTGGAATGCTAAAGAGGATGTTGTTCTATGTAATGCTTGGGTCACCATATCTGAAGATGGTGCCATTGGAATAAATCAACCGGGGGAGACTTTCTGGGGCCGAATTCACGAGATATTTTTGGCACAAAGTCAAATTCCTCGAACTCGAGATGCAATTGAGTCTCGTTTCAAGATCATCAATAATCAATGTTCTCAATGGAAAGGTTGTGTGCGGAAAGCGAACGCAACTCCGAGGAGTGGGTCAAACCTAGACGATTTGGTAATTTCTAAACTACTCTATTATTTGATTTTAATTCATAAATTATATACTAATATATTTTTGAAATATATATAACTATATTAATATTTTAGAGTATATTAGTATATATTCGTATAATATTTAGTGTATACATAACTATGTAATTAAAGCATTTATATATATTCGTATAATATTAGTATAATATTAGTATATATAATATATGTTAGTTATGTTAGTATATATATATTAGTTATATTAGTATATATATATATATATATATATATATATATATATATATATATTGTTGGGTGTGTTTCGGAAGACGTCTCAGCAGCAGGCTGCGGAAGACGTCTCAGCAGCAGGCTGCTGCGGACTGTCCTGCCGGCAGCAGGCTGCTGCGGACTGTCCTGCCGGCAGTGGGCTGCTGGAGCAGCCGGCTGCTGCTCCATTTCAACGGGTAAACTTCGAAAATCGATATCTCATTCACCCGTTATCCGTTTTGAGTGTACCACGTATCGAATTGTAGCCCTTAACAAGGACAATCCAAAACCAATTTCACCCGACCCAAATCGTAAGTGGACCCCACTCAAAAAATTGCCCCAAAATAGCCATTTAATACAACAAGTTGAGAAGGGAATCCAATGTGTTATGGATAGACACAAAATTGAGAAGAGAATCCAATGCTCTAATGTGTTGAAAATCACTCAGGAAAAAACGTAAAAAAAAAATAATGAAATTTATTTTTTTTTACATCGAAATGTGTCTTTTTTATTTTATGATTAATCAGAGAAAAAATTAAAAGGAAAACATTACTTATAATAATTTAATTAATGTTTTACTAAATTGATATGTAAAAAAATGTGCAGAGTATATTTTATTGACGGTGCTAGAATGCAGAGAATAGGAGTCAAAACACTGTTTTCATATCGACGGAGTCCATTTTTGACATTTGGACTCTTGCACCACTCCAAATGGTCTTACGTACAAGAGGAAGAATGTGCAGCGTGCTTGGTCCAACTCGGGAAGGTTATCATTGTGGCAGAGATTGGGACCCGGATATATATAGAGGTGCATGTGTAAATATCAGTTAAGTTGGGTCAACTTTTATACAGTACAACAAAAGTTGCGCTAGTTAGTGGACCGGTTGTATAAACACAACAAATTCTAGCTCAAGGAAGGAAGGTGACACAAATACAAAATTCTTCCATTATGCAGTAAAACACCGGAGAAGGAAAAATTATATCAAGGGGCTTAGACTTGAAAATGGATGGGGACTGAGAAGTGAATCGATCGTGGTCATATGATTGGGGCTGTCCAGGATCATTCATTTTTACCTCGAGCGCGGTTCAATAATTAGTATGCTTTGAAAAATATATAATCACATCAAAATAAAATACTTTTAATATATAATTATATCAAAATAATATATTTTTAATATATTTTTTAAATAAATTAAAAAATATGAAATGAAAAAAATACAAATGGAAAATATAAAATTAATATAAATTATCAAACCAAAAAACTAAAATATGTTTTATATTACAAAATATCAGATATAACACATAAAATACAAATTTTAACGTAATTGGTGAGAATATATTGTTTATTTTCTTATATATCTAAATATAAAATATTGAAATAAACTGAATGAATTTCATTAATTTATATTTCGATTTTTTTGTTTTGAATTTACTGAAAAATATAAATATTTCATATTTATATTTTATATATTTTGACTCTAGTTATATTTAATATTTGGATTTTTTGTTTTTTATTTTTATTTTTTTATTTATTGTAATTTTGACACTTTAAACGGTTGAGGGGGTCAATTGAACAATTTGGTTGGGTTCATGGTTTATTTGACCCTTTAAGTTGTCTTGTCAGTTGCACAAGTGGCACCTTATCGGGTGACATGAAGGTGATCGGACTGTTACCTGCAAAAAGTGAAATTTGAATCTTTTTATCGAGTTTAGTGTGACAGTTTAAGTTTTTTTAGTTTAGCGTTCAAGTTGAGCATTTCGGATGGGTACAACTGCCTATTTGATAGACTTTAGCTTTTAGGTGATCAATTTCAGTAGAAACTGTCACTTGAAAATATTCATTTCACCTTTTTTAAGCCGTCAAAAGTTGAATAACACTTTTCTTAATTTTTTGCAAACACTACCTAAAAGTCATAGCAATTTCTCTTTCGTTTATTCAAAAGCTATGGTAATTAAGGTCCGGCGGGGCGGGTAACGAATTAATTTTGAAGTAAAAGAAATTGCCTGAAATATAAGTAAAAGATGAACAAAGTTTTTAAATGGGACTAAATTTGTTTTCTTTTTAAGTCTGACTCAGTATTAAAGAATAACAATTCTACAAACATGAGCAGTTTATTTTGAGAAGAAATAATGACTCTCCTTGAGAAACTATGCTATATTTTACTACTCCCTCCGTCCCAGGGAGAAGTTCCCACTTTCCTTTTTTGGTAGTCCCAACAAAAAGTTCCCATTTCCCTAAATGGAAAGTTATCCTACATCAAAACAGTGTCAAACAGTGCAAAACAGTGTCAAACAGTGTCGAAACAGTGCCAAACAGTAAAATTTACCCCTCAGTAACTTTATTTCCTAAATATGTGTGAAAGTCAACCCGGGAACTTCTCCCTGGGACGGAGGGAGTATTATTTATATTTTACATTTTTACATGCATGTATGAATTCACACCTGAAAGCCCATGCGATGAAAAAGATAAGACCCGGGGCGAGATTAGGCATGGCCGTGGCAATTGCTGGTGAGGTGAGATGGATCCCCTTCATTTGCAGAGATTGAAACAATGTCACCCTGAAATTCATAAATGGTAACTTAATAATTAGTTTTTTACATTTTGTTATGTTAACTCTTAAATAATCAAATCAGTATCATTACTATACATAAAGGTTTCAATTGATAATATTATTTAAATTTGCGGCCAAAAACCTACATGACGATCAAAATTCGAGTTCATCCTTCACTGATGACATGGACACAAGTAAGGTGAAGTGGACTTTATACAATATAATTCCGGCCACCGCATATATATAATTTTAAATTTTTTGGCAGTAAATCTGAATAACATTGTCAATTGAAACTGTGGAGTTTAATTCCAATTGCAAGAACTAATATACGAGAATTAAGTTTTTGGTAGCGTGAAACGGTATTATTGTCTAGAGAGCTTATCCCTTTTAGGGTAAGTACATGAAATATTTATATATATCAAGCTACAGTAGCTTAAGGAGACATAATCGATACATTTAATAGGTCTTAATCATGATAGGAGTCTTCTAATGTATCTTATAACTTCTTCGGCCTGATAGAGAACCACCGTCCGTCCGAGGGTGTTTCAGGCCCTTCCCGGTAGAATGATAAGTCTGTATTTAGACACGCATTTGATGCGTGTTGAGATTGGATTTTGATGGTTTTCCTAATTATTTTGTGTCACAAGTCTCATTTTTAGCTCAAGTCGTAGTTACCAGGTGTTGGTTCGAGTTTTGTATTGTTTTGGGTCAAAATCAGGGAATTTGAGCCCAGCACCGGCGCTTGAGGAGCATTCGGGACGAGTTGAGAAGCATTCGAGGGTGAATTGAGAGCTTTGGAGGTCACTGGGAAGTTCATGATGAAGATTAGAAGACAAAAGAGCTCTAGGATTGGCTATGTGATCAAAAGAATACGAATAGAGCTTGAAAACGGCGATCAGGATGACCTTCTGTCAGTCTTTTACACATATCTCTTTGTAGAAACATCCAAATGACACGATTCAAGTTCCATATGAAAGCCAACTTCAAGGAATACAAATCATATGAAGACACCATTCTGAGAATCTGATAGGAGCAAGGTAAAAACAGACGAAGAAGTCAGATGATCGCTGTTGCGATATCAGAATGCGACCTTCCACCATTTTATTCATATCTTTTGATTGGATGATTCAAATCCAGTTTTGCAAGTTGTGTTGGATAGAGGACTTCATTATAAATTGCTTGTAGAATAAATTAAGAGAGATCTAGTTTATTCTAGGACACATTCACACGCACTTAATCGCTCGCTAAGAGATTAGTAGCGATTTAGGGGCCGTAAGGTCGCTCGTCTTGACAATAATTTAGGATCTTGTCGCATGAGAGATCAGTCTGGTTCCCTAAATTATTGTACTCTATGCCGCGATATCGGTAAGAACTCAGTAATGATTAGCTAGGCTCAATTAAATTAAGTTCATGTAATTAAGCCTGATCTGCCAGAAATTTGGTTACCCCAAAATAAATCAATGTCCCTTCGTCGTTAATTAAGAAGAAACCAATTTATTTTTATTCGTTGCTTGCTTTTTAATTTAATTTTCCAATCAATCAATCTCGCACGGCGCTTTTATTTTATTTAGTTTAATCGCTGAATTTAATTAATTTTTTATTCCTTTTTCCTGTCCCTGTGGAGACGATACTCGTACTTACGACACCCTATACTACTATCTATTTTAAGTGCGAGAAAACTTACATCATAGAATTTTTTTTAAAATTTTTTTTGACATTGTTCTTCATCAAGTCAATTTATATCCACCAAATTTCAGCTAAAAATTAAATCGAAAAGGCAGTTAAATAAATTATTTAAGAAAACTGCGCTGTTAAATATGTATAAACTGTGCGGCGGTTCTCAAAAAATTATTTGACTGACTTCCCGATTGAACTTTTAGATTAAATTTGGTGTTACTAAACTAGACTTGATGAAGAACATGCTCAAAAAAATTCATCAAAAAAATCCATCGGGAAGGGCCTGAAACAGCAGCGGTCGGACGGTGGTTCCCGCAGGCCAGCTAGGCATGAAGATTTGTCATGTGTGTGTGTGTGTGTGTGTGTGTGTGTCTGTGTGTGTGTCTGTGTACACACACAGAAAATAAATAAATAAAATAACAAAAAAGATCTTGTGAGGTAGTTCTGACGGTACCGTCGTCTGAACTTGTCTATTTGACGTGCTTCCGGGTTGATTTTTTGATGAACTTTTGTGAGCACGTTCTTCATGAAGTGTATATTATTACCACAAAAAGTTTAGCTTAAAATTCAATCAAGAAATCAGTTTAATAAATTATTAAAAAACACCGCGGCAAAATATAAATAAAAAATGCAATGTTAATATACTACATAGTACATATTTATTTGGCGAATACAGTGTTAATTTATTTTGCATGATAATTTTGATTATCATTTGATTCTTTTGGATGTCCCAAAGAATTTGAGAAATAGTTAGTCATCTTCTTTTAAATGACAACTTAATCATCAAATATTAAAAATAATACATTTATAACATCAGAGTTATTATCATCAATGACCTCATTATATTATATACTCATATAAGTTGCTTCTAAAAATATTCAAATAATTAACCTTATATAATTAGTATAAAAAATTAATTAGTATCAAAATAATTGTGTCATTTTTCAATGAGAAGCTTAAATGGGGAAGAAGGTAGTATAGTATGATTTAATTGAATTGAAATTATCTGATAAAATTTGAGTTTGTTTGTTTACATCCGGTGTGAACTAATTTAAAACATCTTTATTAATGATATATTTATATGATGTAGGTAGGTATACAATATATTACGTACCCCCCAAAAGAGATCAAGAGAAGCTGAATCCATAGTTTCATAGGCAGCCTTTGAGGCCATTGGTGCCTGCATGCCAGAAAAGTATTGAAGAAAACAATCAAATGGGTTTAGTATGTACGGGGCACAATGCAATATAGAGATAATATTTACTACAAGAATAGAATGTGGGTGAATTTCGAAAGGGTATGCCCTTTCTGGAAGTGGTTTTGGTCTAATCCCCTTCTCTCTATGTATTTTTATCTTTATTTAATAAACTGACAAACTTTCCCCGGAGTTTATTTGCCCCACCGTTGAGTGGTTTACTTACCGGGAATATTTAAAAAAAAAAAGAATAGGGTGTGGGTGTTAGAAAGAAAATTGCCGGCATGGGTAGGTATCATGCTCGCCTTTCAAGAATGAGGGAGAGGGGAGCAAGAACCATAAAAGTGGCAAAGGTGGAGAGGATGATGAGAGACAAGGGCTGGAAGCCTAAAAGCATGAGGTAGCTCAGCACCACCGAGTTCCCTGCATACAGAAATTGCACCCCTATCAACCCTCCTATCAATCGCATTTCTTCAACCCTCTTTCCCATCTTCAATTCTACCTTCTTGCATATATTCCCATGCATGCATGCGTTCGTCATTTAATTCATTCAGATCTTCATTCCAACACCCCCATCGCCTCTCATCAATATATATATATATATATATATATATATATATATATATATATATATATATATATATATATATATATATATATATATATGGATGGTATTAATCCTTTGCTTTCTTTTTCTACCACTACTATCAATAATGGTTCAGATGGATCGGAGTACCTTGCCCGCCCCACCCGCCCCCTTTTATATCTTCCAAAATTATATACCTGCCCGAGCCTTTTGTAATAATCAAATTTGTTACCTTTCATCCAAAAATTGAAAAATTCCTTCCCATTCTAGCTTTTAATTATACGTAACAACTTTGTTTGTTACATTCGCTCGCATTACATAATTCACTCTATCATAATGCGTGGTATGTAACAATTTTTAAAATCAATTGAATTGCGTCCAATGCTTCCGTAAGTAAACCAAAAGTGTTATCACAACCATTACCAAAGATCGAGTACCAATGTAACAACTTTTTACTTGGCAAAATGTAACACTTCAGCGAAATACATAAAAAATGTTAGATTTATTATCCAATGCAACACTTATTCTCTATATGTATATGTATATATATATATATATATATAAACATTTTCAGTTGAGACTAGACAACAACCGGAGCCTTGTGTAATCTAGATAACATTTTCAGTCTTGTAAAATAGATAAACATTTCTCGCGGTTCCGTTCCATGCCTGTATAATCTTCTCATACAGTCTTGTAATATTTATCTTCTTCTCTATCTTCATCATGAAAAATAGATAAATTTTTCTCCCGGTTCCATGACATGCCTGTATAATCTCTTAGAGCCACCACGTTCATGTCATGGATACCCGTGGGTCTAGCCGACTGAATTCACCCCGACCTTTGTCTCGGTAGCTAGGCCTGCCAATGGGTCGGGTCTAGACCCGAACCCGACCTGGATCCGTCTTTTTTTAATGGGTATGGGTCTGCATTTAATTCTGTTACCCGGATCCGGACCGTTATTTAATGGGTCAGGTATGGTATATGTAGTTCCGACCCGTTCAGGACCCGACCCGTTAATACACACACACACATTAGTCTAATATACATATTAGATTAGCTGCCGCGCACATTATGATTTAGTTTAATAAATCCAGTTGCCCAGATTTATGGGTTTGGTTTTTGTTGTTTTTATTATCACAGATTCAAAGAGGCTTTTTGATAAAACTTATGTTTGCAGTTGCCCAGTGCACCTTATTTGTTACATTAAACTTGTGTTTTTGAAGAACTTACGTTTATTCCCCTGTGGCAAAACCAGTGCACCATATGTGTTACATTTTGAATGTGTAGATCTGGAACTTTTCATGTTTTAAGTGTTGCTTTTGGTTGAGTAATTACAGTTCATGTACCATATTGTTGCCAGAAAAGTACTCGATAGTAAGAGGTCCTCTTTTTTTATTTAAGAAATTAGAATTGGATTTTTGTGAGACGGGTCGGGTCTACCCGACCCGGTTCCAAGACCCAATGGGTATGGGTCTTGAACATTAGTTCTAGACCCGCCGGGTGTATGGGTCGGGTCTGGAACCCTATAGAGGCTAACAGGTCCGGGATACTATGTTCCGGCTCGAATCCGACCCGTTGACAGGTCTATCGGTAGCCATGCATCCACCCAAACCTGCACATCTCTCCCATTCCCCACTCTTCTTATGGTATTATTTTTAGAATCTCTTGGGTTTAAAAAATGCTTCTCCATATGAATGATGGGTTACATCCAAGATTGACTCTCAGAAAATCTGTGTTTGGAAAGTACCTTACCTTAAGCACCCTGTTAGAGATATTTTATATTGTGATCAATGTTTATTATTAGGCCCTCTTGTTGTATTTAATAATGGGTAGAATAAACAAAAATAGCTTGTGTGCAAAAGTGGAATATGGGCTCCCTTGATTTAAGGGCCCGATCATTTGTGCCCTACCCATTCCCAAGGCTATTAATATGCCTTTATGGGAATGGAGTAGGTAAGCCTTTCCAGAAATATTCCACACCTACGCAGAAGAGAAATACCCACGGAAGTTTTACACTAAAGTGTTCTATCATTCTGTAAACTTCTTTTTCATCAATGGAAGGCTTCATTCACCCATTTTGAGCTCCATTTCCATATACTTCTAGTGTAGAAACAGGGACCCAACATCTGGTATCAGAGCTAGAGCTGAACGACAGATTGACGCTCAAGATTTCACTCGTGCGCAAACCTCTCTGCTTCGTGCACGGCATTTTTATTGCTTCTGTTTGATATTTTTGCAGATTAAAAAGCCAAAAGTGAATGCAGGAAATGTTTCACTGATTACTCTAGATCATTTTCTGCATCGTCCGCACATCTTTAGGTAGCGAACAGCCATACAGGTTAAGTAGGAGGAGCGCAAAGTTAGAGGTTGGCGCATCTCTGTGTGCGTGAAACAGCATTTCACGCATCAAGCTTTGTGCGCGAACTTCTCTCCTGTGCGAAAGAAGTTGTGCGCAAAGCTTTGTGCGCAAACTCCACTGTGCGCGAACACATAGGTGTGGGAACTCGTCCGTGCGTGAAGCTCCCCGTGCGCAAAAATTATCATGCGCGAAAGAATCTGTGCTAGAAAACTTATGTGCGTGTACATTCGTGCGCAAAAGCCAGTGCGTGATCCGCCCTCGTGCGCGAAGCTGTAGTGCGCGAACCTATTTGTGCCCGAAATGCTAGTGCGCGACGTTGTACTTTGCAAAAACAGAAACACTTAGTCAATCAACTGCTCAGCCTGATCAACTCAGATATGGACGCTCTATCGATTGGTAACGACACAAGGCCACCAATACTCAGAAGAGGTGAGTATACAATTTGGAAGAACAGATTCTTGAACTTTCTCGAAAGCAATGACCACTTGCCCGGTGTACTGGACTCTTATCACAAATGGTCCTGCACAACTGCTGATTTATGTTAACAAAAATGTTGAAAAACAACCCCCCTGTCGGTGAAACCCACAGACTGAAGACTGAAGAAGAGTATGATGATGAAGATAGAATCATAATCCGAGCAGATCTCCTGGCCAAGACAAACCTGTTGCAGACCATCTACATGCAGATTGACAACATGTCAACTGCTAAGGAGATGTGGGATTAGATCTTTAAATTCATGCAAGGAACAAAGATTGGTGTGAAACGAAGAAATCAAACACTTTTACTATGTATGATTCATTCAAAGCCAAACTTGGAGAGTAACCAGAGGACACCTATATCATATTTCTGCGGTTGATCAATGGGATGAGGAAGATCAACGTTCACAAGTCCAATATGGAATTGAACGTGAGATTCCTATCATCACTTGCTCCAGAGTGGAGGAAGTTGTGCTCTCATATCAGACACACAAAAGATTTGGAGGAGATGGATGTTCATGTTGTCTATAACACTCTTGATCAGTATGCAGATGACTTTTCTGGTTCAGTGAGTACTATTAACGAGAAGGGTAAAGCGTCAGTAGACAAGCTGGCTGACACCCTGGCTCTTATGCTTGAG